ACCGTAGCTTGTGGTCCTGGCAGTTGAGCGATCGCCCTCTTGCCTGCTTGTGACAGCTGCCAATCTCCAGACGTCACCTCCGCTACCTCCGCTTCCCCGTCTGTCTGCAGGCCGTTTGCTTGTCTCCTTTCCTCTTACGCACGCACACTCGACACACACCTCCTCATCCACTCTGTCTTGGCATCTGCTGGGTGGGGGGAGGCGGCCTCCGGACCTCGGCCTGGTCCTTTGAAGATGCCAGGGTGGGGCTCATGGTTACAGGCAGCTGGAACACTAGCTTGGATGCTTGTGAGTAAAGCTGTGCATGAATGTGCGAATGAATGCATGAGAGAAGTGGGGTGAGAAGCATCTCTGCCTGGCTGCAGCATCTTTTCCCAAGTGCAGACAGCAACCCCCACTTCGCTCCCTCACAGGGCCCGCAGCAGCCTTGGCTGGCCAATAGGAAAGGAGCAGGCCCCACCTGAGGGTGCCACTAACCCATGGCCAACGAAGCAGGCCAGACTGTACCCACAGCCAGACCGGTGCTAGGAGAAGAGGAACAACCCAACTGGAAGCGTGAAGGACGAATTTAAGTTGTGGGCTGGGGATGAGCCACAGGCAAGATCCGGAGGCTGTGGGGCCTCTTCGTGCACCCAGAGGCCTCCTGACCCCTTCCCTGTCGAGGGCTGCGCTGGCCCTTTCTGGAAGCAAGGCAGAAGCTTTGGCCCTGAGCCGGTTCTTTCGCTGGCCTTTCAATCGGATCCCGCCCCCGCTTCCCGTCCCAAATGACCTCCCTGTGACTAACAGGCAGAGGGGCTGCATTGATACAACCTGCCGAAGACGGAGTGTCTGCATTTGCATCCCGTGCTAAGCGTGGTTTAGTTTTAACCTCAGTTCACCTTTCTGTGATTTTGTGTACTGGGCAAACCCCGCTGCGTTTGAGCAGTTGGTCACACCACGTATCATACAAACCCGGAAGGGGGTTTCTTTGGTAACCAGCTAAGCCTGTGGTACAAGCACCGATGCCCTCGCATAAATCTTGTTGGAGTCAGGACCTCATCTGCACCCCCTTGCCTCCTTCCCTCCCCATCACTGTGCCCCCTTTGGAGGCAAGGGGGTGCAGATGAGGACTAAGAGGAAGTCACCCGTGCGGATGCAGACAGTCGTGCATCTAACTCGGTCGAGCTCAGCTCCAAGTCAGCCAGAGCTCAGGGGGACCAGCCCTCCCCGGAGGTGTCCTGCTTTCGAACATGGCCTCCCCTCCACCGCTTTCCTCTGCTTGGGTCGCGTCTCTTCTCTTGTCATTTCTTCCTAAGGGCCCAAGGACAGCCCTGCTGGACCACGCCAACCTCATCCTGGTCTAGTGCTTTGTTTCTTACAGTGGGGGGTGTCTAGCAGGGGGCAGCAGTGGGGGGGAGGATGCAAGCAAGAGAGGGAGACCTTCCCCATCCCACCGCTGCTTCCTTACTGTGGGTACGCAGAGAGATGCGACGCCTGACTTTTAAGTGGGGCAAAAGCGGTTGGCCCTGGCCTTCTTCTGGAAAGTTGTTCAGCTTCCCAGTCTAGCCTACAGCCTGGGAGCTCCTGGTGGTCCCCCGTCCAAGGTGAGCGTGGGAGATCAAGCCCAGATGGGCCAGGCAAAAGCTGCTCCAGATTGGCTCCATCTCCCGCGGGAAGGCAGCCCACCCTCCTAAGCCACCGGGAAGCCGTGGCTTATGGTTTAGGTGTGCGCCAGGTGGGAACCCAGCCGCTCCATCCATCCATCCGCCCATCCATCCTTGACGGGTCCCGACGGAGCTTTCCGGCCTCCCCTCCCTCCGAGAGCCCCCT